GGTATCAAAAAAAATCGAACCGTTGGCTTAAGGAATCGATATTGTATCGTATCGCGAGGAAAGCTGTGATTTACACCCCTATCATTTACTGTGGTCTTGTGGACAATACTAAAAGAAATATTTTTATATATAATAAATATTTATCTTGAACAGTAGAATTGTGTAAAGACCATTTGAAGTCCAAATATCAGACGTTACAAAAGAAAGACATGACCATGCATGCATGTTTGTGGTGTTTTGAGTGCACGTCGCATATAAACAATGTGCTCGAGATGTGAACAAGATTGCCCTGTTATGAGTACAAGCTAGCAGAGAAATTTAGATACAGAATGTATTAAAATCAGCTGAGTTTCAGTGTGAAAATAGTGTGTGTTTTGTGAGCAAGAGTGAGTCTGTGTCATTCAAGTGGTTACTCTTATCGCGGATACGGTTTCAACTGGTCATGATGCCATCAAATTGCACATTAACGTCTGGTACGTTTTCTGTGTCCATGTGGCAGACCAGGATATTTAAGTTACTGACAGACCATCGTTATAACAAATGATTGTAAATTCAGTCACTGGACCTAGACTTAGGCTACGTTCACACTGCAGGACAAATGTGGCCCAAATCCAATTTTTTTTACTCATGTGACTCATCACATTTTTTCATGACAATGTGAACAGCACAAGTCACATGGAATCTGATTTTTTTTCAATTCCGATTTGGGCCACTTCAGTATGTGGTCATAAATCGGGTACAGGTCTGATTTTTTGCAATGTCTCCATCAGAGTGCCAAACATGGAGGAGAGCACAGAAGTTGGCCAGTGGAGGGACAGTGAGCTGCTGAATTTAATAAGTATTTGGGGAGATAAATCTGTTCAGGCAAAACTGGAAGGCTCATATCGTAACCGGGCAGTTTTCGAATCAATAAAGTGACGTTTTTGCGCATGCATGTCATTGCGTCTTTGTTGTTTTATGCACACACGGGCCAGTTCAGTATTGTGAACCATTCACATTGAAATCTGATATTGCCTACATTAAAAAGAGTAATGTGAACAGGCAAACAAAAAATCCGATTGGAGTAGAAAATCAGAATTGAGCACTGAGGCCTGCAGTGTGAACGTAGCCTTAGTGAGTCCAAAAACATGCAGTTAGGTCAGTTTGTTTTGCCAAAATTTCCATTTAGTGTCTGTCTGTCTGTCCCGTCTGTCCGTCCGTCTGTCCGTCCGTCT